TCCCTGTGGGTCAACGGAGGCCCAAGATGGACAGAGAGCATGGGGGGATTGGGCGGGTGCCTGGAGATGACCTCTCACCCCATGATGCGATGCCTTTGCGAGGCTCATTCCCACGCAGGAGAAAGTGGGCTCCTGGGGGGGGAGGAGTGCACAGCCCGACGGGGGGATGGCGTGTGTTCCAGGAGAGGGAAGCGAGTCCCGCCTGGCAGCCAGGTTTGCTGATATGAACTTGGCACGAGGAGCACAAGCTCTCACCTTCTAGGACACGCAGTGACACTCATGACCACCACTGAACCTCCTTTTGCAAAGCACAGACTTCTGGGGACAGCCCAAAAAGGGAGACAGAGCTCGCCTGGAACAATGACATCATTGCTCCGCTCTGAGCTTCAAGCTGGGCTTTTAAGTCTATGGTGAGGCTTTGGAAAGCTGGGCTGTCAACTGAGGGCAAAGGATCTCTCAGAATCCACAAAATGACATTTTTTTTTTTTTTTTAAGATCAAAGCTTGGAGATGTAACTGGAAAGTAAATCATACAGCAAATCGCCAGGGGACAGCAGTTATAAGGTCAAGGTCATGCCCACCTAAGAGAGAAAGCCCCCTGGGGCCAGGAGATGTGACAACCTGAGGTGGGGAGGGCAGAGACCCTTCCCCCTGCCCCCATGTGCCCCTGGGGAGGGTGGAGCGGGCAGAGTCACTGCAGACGGTGCTTACCCTGAGAGGGCTCCGCTTTGGCCTTGAGACCGTAATATTTAAAACCGACCGAGAACTTACTGCATTGGACTGAACACCCTGCAGAGGCCCAGGAGAGACGTGCACTCCATGCAGTTTTCGGGCTCCAGGGCCACGGGGAAGCAGGTACAAGAAAAGAGGGAACTGCATTTCTGTACATGTGGGACACAGGGTGTGGATTTTGAGACCTCAGGCCCAGCTCTCACTGCAGAAGCTGACAATTCTCAACCTGGGTATGTGGAGCTCCTTTGCATACGCTGTGAGTGCCACGTACCGGGGCACAGGTGGCAGGTGACGACCAGGACAGCCAGTAAGGGAAGAGTGCAGAGTGTTCCGTGCTGGGGGGATACAGCCACCAGGATCCTATGGCAGAGGGGCTTGGAGTCTGAGAGAGGATGACGGGGCATCGGCCAGGGCATCCTCCCTCTGTGAAGCTGCCCTGAGGTATCACCACCACTGGGCCTTGCCCTTTCATGGGCGTCTCAACGTAAAAAGAAACTCAACCAAGTAAGCCTAGAGGGTTACAAGCAAAAACGCATTCCCTGTACTCAGTCCACGGCTCTCGTTATGCCTCGTGTAATTCCCAAGAGAACTTTATGTGGCTGTAAACGCCATCCTGGTCCCCCTTTCTCCACAAATGGGAGCGTCCTCTGCGTGCTGTGCCGACCTTGACCTATCGGAGACCTTCCATGTCAGCGTGGAGGGCTTCCTGGCTCTGCTCCGTGGCTGCCTGGTATCCCACTTCGTGATTGGCTGGGCCATAATTTTTTTTGTCATTCCCTCCAGTGGTGGGCGCTGAGTGTTTTTCAACGTGTTCCTAAAGTGGGAAATGCTGCAACGAAATGGATAAGCTTGAACATCTTCACTTTTCAGGGGTGCAGGTTCGTCTGCAGGATAAGTTGCCAGGAGGGAGTGGCTGGTTTTAGAGAGTGTGTGCATTTGTAATTTTGATAGATATAAATAAGCTGCTCTCCAAAAACATTGTACCCGTTTACACTCCCACCAGCTATTAGGAGGGTATTTTTAGCTCAACAGACCCAAAGTTTTGAACCTTTCTTCCAAGTCTGCCCCTCCTTCGTTCGTTTGCCCAGGCCTGAAAGCAGGAGGCCCCATCTTGCCCCCCCACCCCCCACCCCGTGAGGAAGTCCGGGCAGAGATTCTCCGAAGACAATCTGTCCCTTCCTCTCGCCTTCTCTCCTACCACACCTACCCTGCTCACCTGGACACCTGTGTGAGCCTCCTGACTCACTTCCCCCCTCGTATCTTCCGCCACCTCTTCTCCACACGCAAGCAGCGGGGCCCATGCTACCCCCAACCCCGCAGGCAGGCTCCTGACCGCCTCCCGCAGACACCCAAAACAGAGCAATGCCCACTGCGGGGTCGTCTGTTTTTCACACCTGTGAAAACCTGGTGCTGGTGCTGAGTCTGCTCTGCTACTGTAACTCCCGGCCCCCGGAGGCCAGGACAAGTTCTCTGCGCCCAGGTGAAGGTTCAGAGCGTTGTTCTTGGGTTTTGCCCAGAGGCCTCACAGACCCACCCAGGGGGCTCCTTGCATCCCACTGCCCTGATACACACACACACACACACACCACACCACCCCCGGGCTTACTCGGGCCTCTTCTCTGGAGAAGGAGAAACACAGCGGCCTCTGCAAGCTGAGGGTGTGGAGAAGAGAGAAGGAAGGGACAGGAAGGCCCCAGGGCCAGGGTGAGGGTGAGTTAAGCTGGAGTCACTTTAGCAGTTGTTCTGTTCAGTGGAGGAGAATGCAGCTAAAGTGATGAGTGGGCACCGCAGGGCTCAATGCCACGCATGCCTCTGGGCTGGTGACAAGTGGGCAGGCCTTGCGACAAGCAATGTGCACCGTCCTGTCCTGTTTGTGAGCAAACCCACGGGCCTCGCCCCCCGGGCGGGCAGAGCGCTTCCCTGCGTGTGTGCCGCAGCTGCGCGCAGGAGGCCGAGATCCCACTGGCCCCCAGAACGCATGGCTCAAGGTCCTCTAAATATTCCATCCAGAGAAGAAGCAAAGGTTTGGAAGATTCACCTGAGAGGCTCAGGTACGGCGTCTGCTTTCCAAGTTCCCACAGCAAACGGGCAGCCAGCTCCGACCCGCCGGGCTGAGCTAGGGCTGGGCTCAGAGGTTTTGGATGTAGCCCTAGGTCCAGGCAGTAAGCTCTGCTGAGTGCCTGCACCTGGGACGTGGCCGGGGCACGGGTGGGGGGTGTGGACATGTGACATCTACAACAGCACTCCTTCCTGCGGACCCTCCCCGCAGACCCTTGCAGGGTCCTGGCAGCTGGCCTGCCCCCTGCACTGGGATGATGTCCCGGAGAGCAGGGGTGTGAGATGACCTCCAGGGGACTAAGGCACCTCTAAGCGCTTTAAGTGTTATTTCCCGCTCGCGGGTGTTTCTGCTTTAGTCACAAATGGCAGTGCAGTCTCTGATTACCTAGTAACTAAGATGGGCTTTAAATAAACATGGGTCCATCCAGTCCACAGGAGAGACCAACACGGCAGGACAGGACCCCTTGCCTGGAGAGGTAGGGGCATGGTATACGGACATGCATCCTGGGGCCTGGAGAGGGTCCAGCATCATGCAAACCCTTTACGACATTGAGATTGTGTTGGATTTCACTTCAAGGTCCTTCCCCCCCACCCCGGTCCCGGGGTCGTTTGAAGGGGAAATTCGGAAAAATCTGAGCTGGGGATCATTTCCCTGAGCAGAGCGTCACAGAGATGGATGGCCCTTGCTGGGGATCATTTCCCTGAGCAGGGCATCACAGAAATGGATGGGCCTCACGCTGCTGCATCTGTCTCCCTGGCTGCTCTCCTTAATCACCTGGAACAGAGCTGTCTTACAAGACGCCGGCAGATCCACTGCCTCTGGCGGAGAATTATTCCAGAATCCTTTATGGTGTGGTCAAAGAAACATAAGAAGCCTTACTAGAGGCGGCAAAAGAGGCTCAAGAAGGGGGCTCTGAGATCCGGTGTCTAGGGCAGGGCAGGGGACAGACAGCACAGGGAAGGAGGCACCTGCGGCTCCTGACCCGGCCCGTGGACCCTGCCGGCTGTTTGTTCCCAGCCGCCCCTCGCGGCCCTCACAGTTGCCCGTCATCCGAGTCACTGAGGAACCGGGGCAAAGAGGCCCTGCCCAAGGTCACCCCAGGCAAATCTGAGAGTCCAACCCCAACTTCAGTGTCTGTACATCCCTGTAGACCATATGCAGGATTCTCTGGACAGAAAGTATGTGGAGGCAAGTGAACGTTCCTGGGAATTGGGGGTCGTGTAAAAACTCAGGCCACAGGCTTCTAACCACACCTATTAACTCCAGACCCCTTGACTCCACGGTGAAGCCCTTAGAAGCCCCGGGGCTTCACGCGGCCGCTCAGATTTTTACTAAACTGCTGCTCCAGAACATCATTTCTTCTCAAACGTGACAGCCTGTTTGTAGAGTTTGGCAGGGCAAGGAATTTCATTAATATGATGTCTGCTTCTGCAACTGTTTTCCAAGACCAGCTGCCAGGAAGGATGGAGGCAGAGGCATCCTTGCCCTGGAGGAGGGGCGGATGTCCCCTGTGAGTGCACCCACGTCGGGGGTCAGAGCCATCCAGCGGATGGGGCACAGCCTCGCTGTTCGGTTCGCACAGCATCGTGGCTGTTTTGCTCTACAACCCAAAGCTGAGTAGCTGCAACACAGACCATACGTCCCACGAAGCCGGGAGGATTTACTATCTGGTTCTTTACAGACAAAGTTTGCCAACCCTGCTCTAAATCAAAATGGGAGGCTGTGAGAAAGCTGTCCATGCAGCATGGATTATTGCGATTCACTAAGTTCTCTGCCAGCTACAGAACACGGCGACTCTCTGATTTGAGGTGGTTGAAGATCACCCTGTGCCCTCTCCCCACAGCAAAGCCCACGCTGCCTGCCACCTCCGGGACCAGTTTGGTATCTTGTGCTCTTTTGCCATAAAGCCACCCTCTCTCTCCCACCGGGCTCCCCCGTGCATTAAGCAGAGAGCGCTGTCTCCGCCCAAACCCGGCTCAGCCTCAGAGCTCCCGCTGCGCTACAGGATCCCCTGGGAGGGCAGAGGGCTCTGTGACAGTTTGCCGTCAGGGTGTGCCCCGTTTCCGTCTAACAGGAAGGTTCCCAGGAAAGCACGCGGAGGCCAAGGTCCACTTAGCCCAGTGTTGCCTCAGTGGTTCCTTTTGACTGGCACCTGCATCTCCCCTCTCCCCACCATCACTGACCCCGAGTCCGCTGGCCCGAGGACAGCCATGCCTTACCTCTACCGGGCCCCAGGACCTCAGGAGCCCCCCGCCCCCAAGGATGCCCGTATCACCCACTCCTCGGGCCAGAGCTTGGAGGAGCTGAGGCAGGCATGCCTGCAGAAGGGCGCTCTGTTGGAGGATGCAGACTTCCCAGCCAACAGCTCCTCTCTCTTCTACAGCGAGAGGCCCCAGCTCCCCTTAGTGTGGAAAAGGCGGGGGGTGAGTGCTGCCAGGGCGGATGGGCAACAGACAGGGGGTGTGCAGCTCAGCAGCCCAGGAGGGGGCATCAAGGGAAGGATGGCCTGGGAGGCGTGGGCTATGCACAAACTGGACTTAGGCACATCTCCTGAGACCCCTAGAAGGTATGCGGTTTGAAGGCAGGAATGATGCTCGGGGGGCAACTGGCTGCTCTGGGTGGTGGCCAGGGTGTCTGGCTCCATGATTCCCCGCCGAGGCCCGGGACTCAGGATCAGAGAGGGTCTTGTCACAGGTGGTGAGTGGAAGTCAAAGCTTTATCCGGAAGTGTCAGGTGACATGTCCCACCAGAGCCCAAGGGCAAACACGCAGAAACGGGTGGGAGGTTGTTCCCCGCAGATCCCTTGCGCTAACGTTGAGACAATGCGCCCGAGGTGCTCAGGGGCTTCTGGCCAGAGCCTAGGATGCTCAGAGTGGACAGAAGCTCACTCAGCGAGCACTCAGGACCTGTGCGATGGACAGAAGTCATGTGAAGCAGGGATTCTCTCCCCAAACCATCTCCCTTCCTGGAGGGCAGCCACCATCTGTGTCCCCGCAGGCCCCCCGCCACAAGCAGTCTGGAGGTGATGGTCCCACGTGGCCCCAGCTGGTGCCTGGGACCAGGAGTCGATATTTGCCGTGCTGGATCAGTCAGGGCTCGACCTCTGACTGGGCGCCGGCTGGCTCTCCTTCCGCCAGGGAGGGTGCTGGTCTGGGAACGGCTCCTGTGGGGACAGGACGCTGTGGGCAAGGCTAAGGGTGCCGGGCCCAAAGAGGAGACCCTGAGTGCTGGTGCCACCCTGCCGCTAACCTGACCCCTGACCGTGGTCCTAGGCCTCAGTCTCCCCACCTGTAAGGTGGGAACGTTAACGACCAGCGTAGGTCCGACGTCTGGCACACGGAAGTTGCTCAACAAGTGACGGCTGTTGTTCTGATCGCGGTTGCTGTTACTGCAACAGCTCTGAATCCCATCTCACCATGAGCACCGTGTCGACCTCACCATCTCCCTACATTCAAATAATGGCGATATTGTAAACATATAACATGTCTACTTTAAACAAACAAACACGAAAACCTCCGGCCTCTTCAGGGCCGGGCCCAAAGCACACATAAGCTGTTATTTACACAGTGGTAAGCTCTTTTTAAAAAATTAATTAATTAATTTATTTATTTATTTTGGCCGCGCCAGGTCTTAGTCGCGGCACACGGGATATGCGTTGCAGCACGCAGGCTCCTTAGTTGCGGCACACATGCGGGATCTAGTTCCCCGAGCGCAGAGTCTTACCCACTGGACACCAGGGAAGTCCCACGCAGTGGTTAGCTCTTTACTGCTATTTCCCGTTGTAGACTGTGTGTGTGTGTGTGTGCACGCGCGTGTGAGCGCACATCTATATGCCATGCTGCCCTGGTTCAGGAGTAAGCCACTTCTGATTGTCCAGTATTTTCCTAAGTATGACAAGGCGATCACGGAATGGCTCAGCCTTTCTTCTGAGAAATTCCAGTCTCTTCCTTTCCTCCTAACTGGTCTCCCTACTTCCAGCCGCAGCCCGTCAGGCCACGTCTACTGTAACCAGGGGCCTTGCCGTCCCCTGCTCTGCGCCCTCAGTGAGCTCAGCATTAGCCAGGAGTGAGGCCCAGGCTCCCACATAGCCCCTGTCCCCAGGCTGCCCTGCACCCGCCGCCCCTCCCCGCGGTCGGACCCTCCCGTCGGAACGCCCTGTCCATCTGGGAGGCCCTGCTCTGCCTGGGGAATCTGGGCTGTTGTTCAGGGGCCTCGCCCACCAAGCCTTCCTGGCTGCCTGAAGCACCGTCGGCCGTCCCATTTCAGCACTCATGCTGTTTAAATGTAATGACCTGCCCGTGTCCCTCCTCGGCGCCCAAGCCTTCTGAGAGGCAGGCCCTCATTCATCCCATACCCCACTGCACCTCAGCTTCCAGCACCTTCTGTCACCTTCTAAACAATGATATCAGCCAACAGTTACTATGACCGGCCAACACTGACTGTTCCAGGATTATCTCATTTAATCCCAAACAGTCCTAAAATCCGGGCATTGTCATTCTCCCCGTTCTAGCGAAGGAGAAGCTGGAGCCTGATGGTTGACGTGCACAGGCAGCACATGAGAGAGCCGGGCACCTCCCCAGGCACTGCCCCAGAGTGTCGGCCACTGGTGTGACTGGAACCCAACGCCGTCACCCACGTCCAGGAGGGCGCCCACCCTCCAGCCTGCATGGCCATCCCCTGGCTTCAGGCGTCATTCTGGAGCCTATGGCTCGCCCTCTCTCTGCCAAAGTTGAAATTGCTCCACGATAAGAGCGTGATGTGCACAGGCCAGGCTGGAGACCGTCTTTGTGCCCTCCTGGAACGAGGGCCCCCGGGACCCCCAAGGGATTCCAGCGCCCCAGACCTCAGCTCTGGGAGGTGCTCACCTTAACATTGACGTCTGCTCAGTGTTGCCCCGAATGATGAGCGAGGCTCCCACCCAAAAACCTGACACCTTGGGCCCCTCCACGCTCCGCTTTGATGTATCATAACTGGGCAGCTGTCCTTCCTGCATTCACTTTCAGAATCCGTTCTGCCCCTTGCTTGGTCTGCGGCTGCGTTCACCCGCTCTGTCTTCAGTCCCAGAAACACACTCTGCGTGTCTCCTACTCAGGGAGGGCAGGGGCCTTGCATCCCGTCTGACACACGTCTGTGAAGTCTGAGGCAAGGACCCGGGTGGGGATTGAGGCTGCTCTGGCAGGACAGAGCCCGGGGTCCCCGGGACGGGGTCAGCCAGGGCAGCAGCGCCACGGGAAGAGTCGCGGCGTCCCTCTGGGAGCCTCCGTGGCTCAGGCGCTGTCTGCCTTTCTCCTCGGCCCTCACGTGCTGTGTGTCCCAGCAGCGACTGCCTGGCTGTCCAGTGGGAACGTGGGGCGGGCGCTCTGCCAGCACCACCTTCTTGGCAAACACAGCTCTGCTTGGGGGCCGGGGAGCGGTGCCCAAGAGCAACCAGAGCCAGGAAAGTCAGAGGACGTCCGGGGGTGCTGGAGAGGCGCCTCGTCCCCCCGGGAGCCCGGGGCAAGGAGGCTCCGAGGGGGAACCTGGGCCTGGGGTTGGGGTAGGAAGGGGAGGTCGCCCGGGGGTGAGCCCTTCCCAGGCCTCGCGGGGAGGGCTGTGGATCTGGGGGGGCGTTTCCCGGCCTGATGGGGACACAGCCGGGGTGCAGTGCAGCCGAGGGCCTCCCTTCTGCGCCTGCAGCCCGAGCCCCTCAACTCACAAGCGCCTCGGCTTCCCTTCGCCCCCCGACTTCCTGTCTGCCTGCTCCCATCTGCCGTCTTCCATGCAATTCCCTGCTGACTCTTAGGCCTCCTGAAGGCCCCGGTCCCGCCTCGAGCCTGGGCTGACAGCCCCTGGCAGCCTGCGTGCACCACGGCACATGGCCGAGACCTCCCTGCACAGTGGGGCTCCCTTTGGGGCTGCCCTCCCCCCAGAGGTCACTGTGCTCCAGGTCCCCCTTCCCCCACCCCGTGCCCCCTTCTGCCTCGACAGCCCTGGGCACACAGCCAGGATCAGTGCACAGCCGTGGGTCGTAGGGCCCAGCCTCTCCAGCCTTGTTAGAAATGCGGCTTTTCCCTTCGTAAATTAAGTACTTAATAGAGAAAAGTCTGTGTGTTTGGCTGAGCCCCTAATGAGGTACAAGGTGAACCGTACAGCCCTGAAAGCAAACATTCCTGGACGTTCGGTCCCAAGTCCTCCAGTCCACCTGCTGGTGCCCAGGCTGGCCTCCCTCCCCGGGTCCCCAAGCCGCAGTCTGGGGTCCCCTCAGGTCTGTGGAGACCCCTCTGATCCTCCCTTCACAGGACGGTGGTTTCAGGTAACCCTCGTCCTCAAGCCCCCAGACAGCATTTCTCACGAACAAACACACCTCTGGGGCCCACACTCATATGCAGGACTCCCAGGCATAAGCGCCACGCACGGGAGCGCACACGGGGCACACGCGTGGGCCCGCGCACTCCACATGCCCACACACGTCACACATTTCAGCAGAGGAGGCACCCACACCCGTCAGCACACGTGCCACGTGGCACATGGGCGTCCGACACTCCCACGCAGCGCCCCTTCACACACAGATGAATATGTAGAGCACAGAGGTCTTTCTTAGGGCAATGAAACTATTCTGTATGATACTGTAATGGTGAATATATGACACCATGCATTTATCAGACACACAGAACTTTACAGCACAAAGAGTGAACCTTAATATATATGAACTTAAAAATCATCTAGGAGGATAAAGGAATCCCAGAATGAAAAGCAGCCTGTGACAAAACAATCTAATAGTATTACAAATCTATGAAACAAACTCATTGAAGGTGTAGGCGAGAAAGGCGTTGACCTAAGTAACTCTGGAAATGAGTGCAGTCTGTGAGATGGAAAGCCAGAGAGATTGGGACTTCCCTAGTGGTCCAGTGGTTAAGACTCTGCGCTTCCTAATACAGGGGGCGAGGGTTCCATCCCTGGTCGTGGAACTAAGATCCCACATGCCACGTGGCAAAAGAAAGAAAGAAGGACAGAGAGATTGTACACAAGCACTGTACACTAGCTGGTTAAGGTGTTTCTCGTGGGGTACAGGACAACAATTCTGATACCATTATACATATCTACTGAATTGGACAATTAAGTAAATGGGTAGCAGATGGGGGAGGCCAGGTTTCTCACCGTTGGAGTGAGAGGTTACGAAGAAGTCTGGTGGAGGAGGCTAGAATGATATAAGTGGTAGTGTGTCAGAGTTGGGGACCTCAGTATGAACTCAGGTTTAGTTGAATAGAGATGGTTACACATTGATGAGTATATGCGTCACTCATGGGTTAGTACACAGGTATTATTTCCTTGTTTATCAGCTGAGAGGGCCTAGAAACAATGACAATCCCATAGCAACAAGCACTCTTAACTTCTCAGGTCTTGGTTTCTAACACCATTCTCCAATCAAAGGAACCAGGGCTCCTTGGAGATAAGGCTGATTGTAGAACTGGGGCAAGAAATACAGAAGATGAGCCTAGAGTATCTTGCAGTGTCAGGAAATGAATGTGTGTGTGTGTGCTTTAAACACACACACACACACACACACACACACACACACACAGTGATGGAGTTATGTCAAAGGGACACAGGAGCCAACTGAAGGAGCCGAAAGTAGCCAAAGCTGGAACAATTAGAGCAGCAAAATAAGTAAAATGGTATTGGATTATAAATCAAAGTATAAAATTAATATTCATGAGTCCATACTGATGTAAATAAATCATTGAATAAATAAACGGGGGAGAAGAGACAAATCTTTCACATAGAAGAATTCCGGGGAATTTATGTAGACTCTCTGCCCTCAAGGAGGTCTAGCATGACCCCCACTCCTAAGTCCTTCCAAAGAGGACAGTAATGGGGGGTGAGAGGAAGTTCACAGAGGAGAAACATGACAGACAGGGGACCTCCACCAGTGATCAAGGCGACATCCACAGTGACAAGTCATGAAGACACGAGGTATGCTCGCTACGACGTGTTGAGAACGGTACTTCACCCCAGTCTATGCGTGAGAAAACCAGCAGACACATCCCAACTGAGGAACATTCTACAGAACACCGGCAGTGCCTCAAAACCGTCCAGGTCTGGGAGGGAGGGAGACACAAGAGGGAAGAGATATGGGAACATATGTATATGTATAACGGATTCACTTTGTTATAAAGCAGAAACTAACACACCGTTGTACAGCCATTATACTCTAATAAAGATGTAAAAAAAAACAAAACTGTCCAGGTCATGAAAAACAAGGAAAGCCTGAGAAACTGTCACGGGCCAGAGGAGCCTCCGGAGACTTGACTAAGCGTGATGATGTGGGATCCTGCAATGGGATCTTCCAACAGAAAAAGCACGTTAGGTGAAAACTAAGGAAACGTGAATATGGTGTGAACTTTAATAACAATGACGTACTGGTTCAGTCACTGTAACAAATGCACCGCACCGATGTAAGATGTTAATGTACAACCGTATTAATCAAAGATGTGAAGAGAGAAAAGCGGCTGGGACTACACGGGTCCAGAAAGCAAGAGAAATGCCTCCATCTCCCTCTCGGTCTCATACAACTAACAGCTTCACGCTCAGGCCCCACTCCACGTGAGGCGAGGGGAGGCTCATTGCAACCTCACGGCAGCCCCAGGAGGAGGCGTGCAACCCCATTTTGAAAAGTAGGAGACTGAAGCACTGAGTGAAAACGGCATCCCTCAGCTTGTAAGCGGGGGAACTGACACTTGGACCTGCAGTCTGTCAGGAACCCGGGCTCTCGGCCTCCTTAATCAATAGAGGCTGATCAGAGGCCAGGCAGGAAAGTCAGGCAAGGCTTTATGGGGGCCCCTGCTACAGCAGGGGGTAGCGAGATCAAGCAACATGCTTCCTTTTCCCCTGGGGGGATGGGGCGGCGAGCTTGTTCCTTATACGGGGTGAGAGTAGCGGGTGCGTCCAGGGGTCGGGCCGGAGGCGTGGCCTAGGCAGTCTGCCCACCCCTTAGGTGGCGTTGCGTGCGGGGGGCGTGCGCAGTGCCCTGCTTTTGCTCGCGGCTCTTCAAAAGTGGCAGCTGGTTATTTTTCTTGGTCTCTTTTGTCCAGAATTTGTCTCAACTGTGCATGCACGTGGTTATTTTTAGTCCCATACAGTTTCTTTGTATTCTGTTGCTCAAGGAGAGGTGTGTCCAGGTGCCAGCACGGCAGCCCCGCAGCCAAGGGTCCCAGGTCCCCGCCTGTCTCCTTACCACCACACCCACTGCCTCTCTCACAGAGTTCTCAGCATCTCTGGTTTCCTCAGAGCTCCAAGTAAACCCCATCCCTGCTTCCCACGTTCTTCCACACCTCCAGCCGGGGCGAGCCCCGGGAGGTGGTTCTTGGTTAGAAAAACTCTGGCTGAGGGGCGCCACCTAGTGGTAATCCTTGTTCCCTGCAGCCGTTGCCAGGCTTTCTTGCCGCCCTCACAGGCTGAACGGGAGCTACGAGGCTCTGAAGGGGGCAGCGCCATCGAGGCCATAGAGGACTTCACCGCGGGCGTGGCAGAGACCTTCACAACCAAGGAGGCTCCCGGGAACTTCTCTGAGATTCTAGACAAGGCCTTGAAGAGGGGCTGTCTGGTGGGCTGCTCCGTTGACGTAAGTCGCTGGCTGGCCGCATCCCAGGCACTGTTCTAGGCTCGGATGCCAGGCTGCCCACGGAAGAGGCATACATTGCAGGGGGGCGGGGGCAATGCTTATTTATTTTAATTAAAACAAACGTTTGTGTTTAATGGTTTTCGAGTTGCAGAGGTAAGACGCCCTTGCTGTATCAGGTGGAAGAATCCTGAGATGATGGACAGGGCAAAACTCTGTCTCCCTCCCCCGGTCCATGCCGGGACGCCTGTCGGGTGTCCGTCACGCCTCTGTCCTCGCTCATGCAACAGGCACGCGCGTATATGCACAGACTCGGGGGCGGTGTTTACTGAATGGAACCTTACTATACACGTTCCTGAAACTTGTCTCTTTCACTTCATAGATCATGAAAAAATATATCCGTGGATAGAAACAGAACAGCATTTTTTCTAATTTCTTTATGCATACAAACACACGCATGTGATTTTAACCTCATCTATTTTTTGAATCCTATTCAACTTTTCTATTTCCTCTTGGATTATCCTGGGGAATTTATCCTTTGCTAGTAAATTTCCTCTACTTTTTCAAGTTTGTGACATAGAATTGCATGTCATAGGGTTATATTATTCTTACTGCCTCTTTGGTGTCTGTCCCTTGCTGTTGCCACGTGGTGGGAAAGGTCAGGTTTTTCTGTTTGGGGGCAAGAATGTCAGCTCTTCGGTGAAGTCCAAGCAGAGAACGAGGGGCCTCCACCCTGGGAAGAGGCTGGGAATCGCTGTATGTCACTGCTAACCACTTAGGGGGCTTCCCGTGTACCCATTTTATACGCCCACTCACAGGGCCCTCACCTGAGGGGGCAGGAGGGACTGCGCCAGACATAGAGCTGTGTCTGGCCAACTGGGGAAGGTTTGACGTAGATACTGCTCCTTTTTTGTTTTAGATCAGAAATGCTGCAGAACCTGAAGCCCGGACACCTTTTGGTCTCATTAGGGGTCATGCCTACACAGTGATGGGCGTTGACCAGGTAGGCGACAGGGACCCCTGTTGACAGGGTGTGGGGACAGGCTTCATAAACCTATATAGCGCATTGCAGTTTTGGACATGACAGAGGATGTCTCATCCAAAAAAGAAAGGCTGGAATTCAAAACAGCAAACGGGAGAGAGAGAAGAGAGAGAGAGAGGGGAGAGAGAGAGAGAGAGAGAGAGAGAGAAGAGAGAGAGAGAGCGACCTGTGAGGCCGGCACAGTATAAACTTGGTCAGCAGCTGCAAGAACCTGGTCTTTGTTTTTTCTGTTCTTTTCTCCCCTGATTCCACACCAGTCCTGTCATAGTCACTGTTCTCCAGAGAAGCAGCACCCATAGGCTAAATCTGTATGTGAAGAGACTTAGTAGTCGGAATTGCTCACCTGATTATAGAGGCCGAGAAGCCCTGCATTCCACAAGCTGGAGCCAGTGGTGGAGTTCCAGTCCCAGCCCAAGAGCCTAGGAACCAGGAGAATCAGTAAGTCCCAGCCCAAGAGCAGAAGGGGACCAAAGTCCCAGCTCGGCAGTCAGGCAGGGAGGACAAATTCTCCCTTCCTTTGCCTTTTTGTTCTTTTTGGACCTTCAGCTGATTAGATGGGGCCCACGCACAAAGGGGAAGGCCATCTGCTGTACCCAGTCTACCAGTTCAGATGCCCATCTCGTCCAGAAACACCTTCACAGACACACCCAGAATAATGCATAACCAAACATCTAGGCACGCCATGGCCCAGTCAAGTTGACACATAAAATTAACCATCACAAGCTATTCTCTGCAGCTGTAGTTCAGGGTGGAACTAATCCCCGGGGCGGGGAGGGGGGGCACCCAGACCCCACATGGCACCACTGTAACTCCGGTGAGTGCTTTGTTTGGAGGAGTGCACGGGAGAGAGGAGGGGAGAAAGTGAGATGAGAAGCAGAGGGTGGCGCCCTTGCAGGGTCAAGTTCAGTGAAGTCCGTGCCCCACTTGGGTGAATCTCAAACCCAGTAGGTAGCGGACCTGGGCACCTCCGGTCTCCTCCAGCGGCTGCCATGTTTTGAGCGACATGCTCCAAATGAGTGGGGAGCACGGGGTGCAGAGGGAGCCTGTCCCTCCCCCTCAGCGGGCGGCGTGAGCAATGTGTCCTAGAGGGAGAGGCAGCTGGACTCTTTGGAGTGTTAGCTCCCTCCTCGCCCCTCCCTGTCTACACACGCCTTCCAATCATTCACTGGAGCAGGCCTGTGATTCCTGATGTCAGATCTTCTAAATGTTATTCCAAGAGATGGCAGAAACCTTCCCATCGTACACTCTGTTCAACTGCGTTTGCTTCCCCTCCACCTGTAAGGAATTCACCTCCCCACACATTTCAACGAATGAACCTCTTTCATGGCGAACTTGGACTCTGGAGAGGTCCTACTCACTTAAATGATTTTGCACGTAAAAAGAGAACATTTATGCCAAAGTGTTCCGAGAACTAAAATTCCTGGATCGTTGATGAATCGAAGTCTTTGACTCTCACCCTTCCACCCCCAAAACCTCCCTATGCATTGGTGCACTTTCCTGCTCTGGGCAGAGCCTGAGGGCTGAGTCCTCTTTCTGTACTGGCTCAAGGGCTCTCAGTGTGGCAGCAGAGACCCTCATGTGACACCTGAAAGGGGGAGAAGATCGGATTTAGAAGACTCAGTCGTGGGTTTCTGTTTATTGCGGTTGTTTAAACTCCCAGCATGTGCTTATATTCTGCTCATCTGGGAGTCAGGTGCTAAGGATGAAGAAAACTCAGTGTTAGACCCACTGATTTCTGGATTCTGAAGATACACGAGAAATAAGACTCGGCCTCTGCCTCTGGGGGGTTCCAGCCTAGAGAGGAAACTCACTCGTTTGAAGATTCCTGAGGACTCACTTCTTGTTCATTACAATTCTGCTTTGTTTCCCAGATGCGACGTAACCATTCTGGGGTGATGAACGTAACGTCGCGTTCAATCGGAATTAGGAAATTTTGAGGGCTAGTTAACAACTGATGAGTTTTGACATGTTCTGAGTGTGTCAACAGGCTTTCAGAAAAGGCAGCCTCAGCTGGAGAGAACCCACCCTGGAGCTCACAGATGGATTTAGCATCTCACATTTCTCTGACGCTTTTCCCTTTTAGGTAAACTTCCAAGGCCAGAATACAGAGCTCATCAGAGTCCGGAACCCTTGGGGCCAAGTTGAGTGGACTGGGTTCTGGTGCCACAGGTCAGTCTCCGCCCATCCTTCTGACAGATCCCCACCTCCCTACGGTTCACAGGGTACGAGGCCAGGGCTGGCTTGTGCACGTGTGAAGAGGGGGAAGCCTGACTATAGTTCTCTCCTAGCTCCCGTTCAGGGAGGGTCCTGTCCTGCGTCTGGACCTTACTTCTGCCCTCGGGCCCTCCACGCTCTCAAACTTGAAGACTCACTGTGCCCTTTACCTTTCACAGAGTTGTATTATGTCAGTGACTGTATTACCTCCCATGGGAACTTTAAATCCTATGGTATGGTGAAGGCTTCATCCCAGTGATGAAGAGCTCGTGTGTGTGTGTGTGTGTGTGTGTGTGTGTTTGTGTGTGTGTTGGGTGCAGGTGGGGTGGCAATGAGTACTTTAGGTGTGAGAATCCCTGAAACATTGCCAAGCAGGTCGCTAAAGTGTTCTCTCTCATGGTCACTGACCATTGGCCAGAGGCCCGGTGGCCCACAGTGAGACAGAGGGAGCGGAGCAGGAAATTCATCCATCACAGAGCAGCCACCTGGGCTATTTATATGGCCCCCGATTATACAGAGAGGGCTGTCTGTCTTGTATGTGTCCCCTCCTCGTTCCCCGGGGAACAACCTAGGTGACTGGGATGGGGGCTGTTCCAGCTCAGGCAGGGCCCCCTAACCCGTCCCCACTCCTGCCCACCCACGGCTTGGAGGGCCCCAGGGAGCCTGGCAGCGAGTCTCGAGCTTCAGTGAAACGGGGCAGCGTTTGTCCTCGGCTCCCACAGAGGCACCAACCCCCTGGCCGTCGGTGTGCTGGGGGCTTCATTAAGCAGACTCCACAGCCCGGGCCTGACTGTCGGCCCCATCGCGGGGCTTGTGCCACCATCCCTGCCGTCTGCCGGGCTTCTGTCTCCTCAGACCCATCAAAGGAGGGAAGAGATCAGCCTCCCTCTCCAGTCGGAAATGGAGAGAAAGAGATAAACCCACATTAATGACACTGCTTCCTACGGTGAATAGATTTGGAGTCTCTCGGTTCGGGGATTGCGGTGTGTAAAAGGGCCGAACCCTTTTTCCCCCTCCTGGGGAACACGCAGAGGGAGAAATAAAGGAAGTGCATTTTCGCTGGCTCGAGGCTGGACACCAGCTTGCCCTCTGACCCCACTCGGCCTTGGGGTAACGGGGAGCTGGTCCACAAGCCGATCCCTGACACTGACCCTGCCTGCTGTGAGAGCAGGGCTGAAGGGGCTGCTTACTCCCCCAGGCCCATGGGGTGTCCGGGGAGGGGCCCTGGGTACTGCTCTTCCCTGGACTGCAGAGATATTCTACCTGAGTTCTCCCCGCCCCCATCCAGGACAAGGCCTACAGGGTGTAGGTGAGGCAGACACATCACTTACAGCACCGCAGTGGTGGTGACTCAATTTGAACTATTTAGAGGTGGTCATGGGGGTCACAGAAACTCCATGCACCTGGAGGTGGAACTCCTGGGTTTGCAGGACAATGGGCGCTGTGCACCTGAGGCTTCTTGCCCATAGGCGGGCTCGTCTACCTGGCAGAAGCCCACCGGGCTTCCTAGCGCGGTCTTGTAAAGAAGGTACTTGCTATGTTTAATGCCAAGCACGCGTGAACATGAGGTATTATCACCACTCTTCAAAGTGTCAGCTTGTAAACCAAGAGGAGAGGTAGAGGGCGTGTTCCAGGTCCCACATCTCAGCCCGCTGTGGCTGCTCGCTGGGCTCCTTCTGCCACCCTGTTCATGTTCAACTCCCTGTGACGGCCCCAGGAGAATCTTCCGTGGAGGAGGGTCCAGTGGTCCTGAGGGCCTTTTTGCATCAGCTGCACTTGGAGATGTACTTTCCCACCAACCTTTCCACCCACTGGCACATTTCCAGGGCCCCGATCAGGATCCATTCCCCACATAATGTGGACCCTGGTTCCTAGGGAGGGGCAGGTCCCACCCCAAGGCCAGTGTTGTCCCCATTGCCGTCCGTGACCTTGTACCTAATGCTGGCTTTGTTCACCCCTAGTTCTTCTGAGTGGCATTCCGTTGGCCCAGCCGAGCAAAAGTGCCTGTGCCACACTGCTGTAGACGACGGGGAGTTCTGGTACGGTGCTTGTCTCCGTTTTCCTTTCCGCATTAACTCCATCACAGGTGTGAGCGTGTCTCACTGCCCTTAGGTGTAAGAAACACTGCTTCTTCTTCTATTTTCTTTTATTTTATTGGTAAATCAAATCCATTTTTCTCAAAACCCAGGCTGGCAGAGAATGTAATGTCACGTTTGGGGGACTCACCCTATCTACAGGTTTAAGAGGCCCAGGGGAGTTAGTGCGATCCAGAAAACATGGGGCTGAGCCTCTGGTCTCCGGCCCAACCTCCTTCCTCTGAGCACTCCATCATCCCCGTTTGCACGTGAATTCGAAGACAGGCAGCCCTGACGCTCACAGGTACACTCCCTCCGTGCCCAGCTTGGTCACAGGGACCCTTGAAAACTTTTACCTGAGAGCATCTAAAACTACAGACCTAAGTGGGAAGGAAACACTCCTAACCTGGACTTTCCACAGGGCTGAATCTCTGTTTAACTGAAAACTTTAATGGGCCTTCATCTCTGGAGGCTTTTTTCGATCTTATTTCTTCCTGTCGGGTCCAGAAAGAGTTCGTGCATCCAGCCCTGCAAGACCACAAATTCTTTTTTTTTTTTTTTAAGAAATACATACTTTTTAAATTTGTTTATTTTTGGCTGCGTCGGATCTTAATTGCAGCATGAGGGATCTTTCGTTGTGGCACGCGGGCTCTTCTGTGGCACGTGGGCTTAGATACCCCACGGCACGTGGAATCGTAGTTCCCCAACCAGGGATCAAACCCGCGTGCCCTGCGTTGGAAGGCGGATTCTTAGCCACTGGGCCACCAGGGAAGTCCCACGGCCACAATTCCTGGGTTTCTAGCTCTCCTCCCTTTCATGTGCTCAAACCAGTCCATTCTAGCCTGAACTCATCTCTTTTTTATGACACCTTATTAAATACAACATGCAAAAACTAGCACACAGTGACTAATATTCCAGTTTCTTCCCTTCTTTTCCCCTCGAGCGCAGCGTCAGTGAGCATTTGCTCTGGCTTCAGTATACTTACATATTTTCCAGACAACAACTGTGGCAAGTATTTTTGCCCTTAATAACATGGACATCTATTTTCCAGCTCCAATAGTCCCTTTCATCCTGCTGCCCAGCTGCTAAGCTGGCTCACATATTTTAGATTCCGTTATGGTGGTTCCACACTTCCAGTGACCCCAGGTAGCACCAGCTGCCGTAACAAGTAGATTCAAAATGTATAGACTCAAACGCAATCAAGTGTATTTCTCACTCATTGTAACCGTCCAGGAAGGCATTCCTGTTCTGTGGGTGGCTCTCTCCATGCAGAAGGATGGACTCAAGCTCCATCCTTCGTGTGGCTCTACCATCCTCTGGAGTGACACAGTCACCTGCAGAAAGCCAGCAGAAGAGGGGGAAAAAAACAAAAAAACCTTTGGAGAAGATATCCCCAATTCCTAAAAGCCTTGACCCAGAATTAAGACACGCCACCGTTTTCATCCTCCACTAGCTGGAAGGCCCCGCCTAGTGAGTGAACTTGGTGTCCTGCTAGCCATCTGTCTCAGGAACCATGAGTTCATAAGTAGAAGAAGTTTGTGGAAAACAATCAGGGTGTTTGAGAGATTGACAAGCTGTTGAATTGGACCTTAGACACACATCAACCTTGAATTTTGAGTACTGTACAGGGTTGATGAGTTACATGAAGAGAACAAACCCGAAGAAAGCGAGGTCTGGAATTCGGATTCTCCCATGAATTGCCAAATAAGAGCAGGCGGGCGAAACAGAGTTTGAGAGGCTACGTGAAGTCAAGCTAGTGGAAGGAAAGTCAGGCCCAGAAGGAAGGAGAAACAGGGCAGAGGAAATGAGGAAACCCCCAGGGAGAGACCCAGCAAAGGGAGTGCCCTGTGCACGGCCCACGGTCAAGCCCTGCACCATGACTGCCCTTCCAAAAGGAGCTGCGCCCAACCCCTGGGGCTGAAACTGGCCCGGGCAATGTGTGACACTAAAACTGTCAGCACTCTGAATCTGGAGCCTTTCCTCTGGGAATCTTGACACTAAAGCCTTTCCAATCTCTTTCCACTTTTATCTTTCACCGCCCCTCCTCCCAGGACATACTCCCCAAACTTTCCCCTCTCTCATTTATGAACTCCTCTCCGTCACTGAATCATTTTCATTTGCAGTACAGTGCTGTCATTTCGCCTACTTCAAAGGAAAAGTGTTCCTCCTGGGGCTTCCCTGGCGGCACAGTGGTTGAGGGTCTGCCTGCCGATGCAGGGGACGCGAGTTCGTGCCCCGGTCCGGGAGGATCCCACATGCCGCGGAGCGGCTGGGCCCGTGAGCCATGGCTGCTGAGCCTGCTCGTCTGGAGCCTGTGCTCCGCAATGGGAGAGGCCACAACAGTGAGAGGCCCGCGTACCGAAAAAAAAAAAAAAAAAAAGTACGTGCTCACACCCACTACCCCTACCTGCACCCCGGGGACCCCAGGACTCCCATGGAGGGGACAAGGGACGTGTGACGGACGCCTGCCGCCTCGAGCTCCCCCAGAGCCCCTGCTCCTCCCAGCTGCAGACTGGCTTTTCAGAGCTGACGTTAGGTAGACTTTAAAAATAGCTTTCATTGCTCATTTCTTTCTTTTCTAAAAATATTATTTATTCTATTTATTTACTTTTGGCCGCATTGGGTCTTCGTTGCTGTGTGCGGGTTTTCTCTAGTTGCGGCAAGCGGGGGCTACTCTTCTTTGCAGTGCACTGGGTTCTCATTGCGGTGGCTTCTCTTGTTGCAGAACACGGGTTCTAGGCACGCGGGCTCAGTAGTTGTGGCGTGCAGGCTCAGTAGTTGTGGTTCGCGGGCTCTAGAGCGCAGGCTCCATAGTTGTGGCGCACGGGCTTAGTTGCTCCGCAGCATGTGGATCTTCCCAGACCAGGGCTCGAACCTTTGTCTCCTGCATTGGCAGGTGGATTCTTAACCACTGCGCTGCCAGGGAAGCCCGCTCGTCTCTTGATTACACTAATGATTCAAGTTTATGGTAAAAGATTCTGAAAAATGCAGAAAAGCCTAATGACAGAGGCAAACATCACGGCTAATCTCACTACCCATACATAACCACTTTAACATATATGTGTGTGTCTTTGTGTATGTGTTTATGTACCAAATGTGTAGTCTGTGGGTGTGTGTCTGTCTCTGTATATATAGGTACACACATAGTAGGTATTACACTATAGATGCAATATTATTTTTGAATTAACAGCTTTGAGAGTTAATTTGCATACTATACAATTTACCCATTTGAAGTATACAACTCTGCTACGTGAAATAAATCAGACAGAGAAAGACAAATACTGTGGAATCTAAGAAATACAACCAACTAGTGAATATATAACCAAAGAGAAGCAGACTCACAGATACAGAGAACAAACTAGCAGTTACCAGAGAGGAGAGGGAAGCAGGGGTGGGGGAAATAGGAGGTACAAACCATAGGGTGTAAGACGGGCTACAAAGATGTATTGTACAACAGAGAATATAGCCAACATTCTGTAATAACTGCAAATGGAAAATAACCTTTAAAATTGTATAAAAAATAAAAAAAAATTTTAAATAACATATACAACTCAGTGGATGTTAGCATGTTCATAGACCTGTGCAACCATCACCACAATCAATTTTCATTTGATTCAGAGCACTTCATCACTCCAGAAAGAAACCACGTACCAGTAGCATTTACTACCCTCCCCCGAACCCCCAGCCCCTGGCAAGCACTCATCCGTTTTCTGTCTCCATAGACTTGCCTGTTCCGGACTTTTCATATAAAAGGAATCATATAAAATGTGCTTCTCTTTGACTGGCTCCTTTCACTTAGCCTGACACCTTCCAGGTCCCTCCACGTTGTAACGTGCCAGGACTCCTTCACTTCTTTTTATGGCTGGATAATATCCCATTGTCGGAATATACCAGGTAGGGTTTAGCCATTCATCCATTGATGGACACTTGGGTTGTTACCCCTTTTTCGTTATCATGAATAATGCTGCTATGAACATTCGTGTACAAGCTTTTATGTGGTCATGTGTTTTCATTTCTCTGGGGTGTATAGCTAAGACAATTGCTGGGTTAAATAGTAACTCTATGTTTGCTTCTTAAGAGGCTGCCTATTTTCTAAAGTGATTTCTGTTCCTTTCCACTAGCAGTATGTGAGTGTTCAAATTTCTCCAATAATTTTAAACCCTGTCTCCTAAACTTTATTTTTATGAGCATTTCCCCAGAAATGATCTTAAGAATTAAAGCATGATTCTTAAGGATTGTGTAATAATCCATCATGTGGACATAAACTGTTGTCCATACCCTTCCATTGGTCATTTGTATCATTTCTAAGTTTTTGCCATTACAAATAACCTGATGATAAAAATCTTAACTTATAATTCTTTGCTTGGGACTCTTGAAACTCCGATAAAGAGTGGAAGGATATCCCCATTTTTAAAGCTTTTAAAGCTTTTTTTATATTTTGCAAATGTTCCTCCCCAAAGACCATGTTCTACTCTCACCAGCATCTGAAGAGCGACTACATCACCACCCTCACCAACCCGGATCTAACCACCCTACTGGACTTTCAGCAGATGGAAATAGGTTTATCTTATCAGGGGTCAACTGAATTCTGCTTTCTTGTGTGATTTCAGAAAGGGACATCAAATTCGAGAAGCTAAGCCTGACTTCCTGTAAAAAGGTCATTTCTCTAATGGACGTATCCTTCCAAATATGCAGGCAGAAAAAGATGTTAAGTGTTCTTCTCTAATGCAGACTTTCCTAGAATGTGGAGAGCCTTCTTCACAGAGAATAACCAAAGCCTGGAAGACACTGGTGCTAGAATTGGAACAAAATCAAGAGGCACACGGGACTTCCCTGATGGCGCAGTGGTTAAGAATCCACCTGCCAATGCAGGGGACACGGGTTCGAGCTCTGGTCCGGGAAGAACCCACCTGCCGCGGAACATCTGAGCCCGTGCGCCACAGCTACTGAGCCTGCACTCTAGAGCTCGCGAGCCACAACTACTGAGCCCGTACACCTAGAGCCCATGTTCCACAACAAGGGAGGCCACCGCAATGAGAAGCCCGTGCACCGCAACAAAGAGTAGCCGCCGCTCGCCGCAACTAGAGAAAGCCCGCGCGCAGCAATGAAGACCCAGTGCAGCCAAAAATTTAAAAAAAAAAAAAGAGGCACAGACTGGCCAGTGGGGGAGTGTTTGTGAAGGGACTTGGGAATCTTTTTGCCACTTTGGGGTGCTGTCCAGGGCAATGAAGAGTTCTTCATATGTGTGTTTTCAACCTTTCTTTTGCCATCCCCCCTCACCCCTGCCATGCCCCCTCTTCAGAGATTCATGGCTTAATAATTAAACCCCCTCTCTCAGAGCCCTGAGTCTGTGTCACACATGTCAGCCATGCCAGCCCATTGCCCTCCTCCCCTGCAGCCCCAGGAGCCTTGGGGTGATATGATGCTCACGTCTTCCTTTCTTCCTTAATTCACTTGCACAGACAAGTGGCAATGGGAAGCTAGTGTTTGGTGAATTCAGAGTGTTCTGGGACAAGCTGAAGAAGAGGACAGTATGTAACCCAGCCAGTGCGTGGCTGCTAGGGGACTGTACAAGCCTAGAGCAGAAGGGGATTTTATTTTATTTTATTTTTAAATATTTAAATATTTATTTATTTATTTTGGCTGAGCCATGTCTCAGTTGAGGCATACATGCGGGATCCAGTTCCCCGACCAGAGAGGGAACCTGGGCCCCCTCCATTGGGAGCACAGAGTCTTAGCCACTGGACCACCAGGGGAGTCCCAGAAGGGGATTTTAAAGGTCCAGGTGCTGCCGACCAGAGGATTTGTGTTTGAAAAGGTGGAAGGGAGGAAATCAAGATGGAATTCCCATATTTACTTCCCATACTTATGGGAGTACCGCAGGGCTTCCACCCAATATGAAAGGAAAACAAAGGGACCCACACTTTTGGAGACCCTAAGCCTACCATTGCCCCTTCCACCTGGTGAGAGGAGTCTCTCCCCTGCATGGACCCCATGACTGCCATCAAAGGAGCCTCAGCGGGGGCTTCTGCGTGCCCGCATTCTCAGTGCCTCTGCTCTCCCCCTACAGAACCTTTTCCTTCAGTTTGACGCTGACAAATCTGGTACCGTGTCCCCCTACGAGCTGCGGACCGCCCTGAAAGCCACAGGTAAAGGGAAGCCTGGGCCGCGCAAGCCGTCTGCGTGCCGGGTGCTGTCTGTGGCAGCCACTCACCTCTCGTGGCCCAGGGAGGGGGCTGGACTTTGACCAGAATCGATGCTTCTTAAGGGCAGGGCCCAGCCTCAAATTCAGGACTTGTTCAGTCTCATCAGGGATCTTTAAAGTGCATCCACTGGGGCTGAACTCCGCCTGACCCCAGGAGGCCTCAGCCTCTGGCCAATTCTCTGGCCAAGCAGAGTTATACACGACTCTGGTGGCAAGCTCCCAAACCTTTAACTTCTGCTTTCAGATGGCGATTAACACAGAGAGGCAGGGCATGTCCATCCCATGGTTTGGGGTCAGGTTTGGGGTACACAGAGTTCGTGTACCCCTCTGCCACGGAGGCCCGTCTCTGGCTTTGTCACCAGCAGACTGAATCCAAACCAATGATTCCGTTGTCGTTTACACCCATTTCCTGAATGAGGGATGGGCTCCAGGTGGCATTCCTAACCCTCTGGCAGCCCCTGCCAGGGCAGTCCGAGTCTCTGGGGCTCAGCTGTCCTTTGCATAGGACGGCCACTGCAGCCTACACCCCGCCAGGCCACAAGGCATTTCTCACAAAGCAGGCTTCACAGACATACCCCTGGGCCCGGCCAAAGCCTGGAATCTGGTTCCCTTCCAAGTAAAATAAACATCGGGAAACACTGTCAGCTTCATGGTATGATAATGGGACAAAATCAGGACCAGCTCGGGTCCTGTGTGATGGCAAAGAAACGAAATTAATTACAAATGTGGAGAGTGCCACAGAGGAGAAGGGCCTGATCTTCTTAGGGTCTGGGGACCTGGTTTCTAGGGCAGAAGGACAGAGCAGGGGGAAAAGGGAGCCCTTCAGAGAGGGAGGTGTGGCCACGTCCTTCTTTTCCCGGCTTGGGGAGGGGGAGGGAATCGGCCCTCACCCCGCCCTCTTTCTGCCCCACCCAGAGCAGACGCCAGGACTCTGGGTGTTGCCCCCAGCCAGCTCCACTGTGCAGGCTCCAGAAACCATGTCCTTCCTCTGGACTGGCCCCCTCTTGGTCTGGAATCGGGAACGAGGACACAGGAAGACCCTGGGCAGGTTTCTAAGCAATATTTGAAACATTTCCTGGAAAGGGAGCATGCAGGCTGAAATGAAAGAAGGCAACGCTGGTTAGAAATCAAAGCCTTAAGTGTTGAATCTATAAGGAGCGTTACCATCTCTAAACTCCTCATTCGACCAATGAGCAAAGAGGTCGAATGAGCAAAGAGAAGGGAAGCAAAGCACCCAGGCCCAGGTTCTCGCTCCATTGTGGGCGTGTGTGAATGAGCCTAGCATGGGGTGTTTCACTGAGGGCAGCGGCATAACTCGGTCTCCAGAGCCCCCAACACCTCTGGGTTAGAATGCCCATGAGAAACAGACACTTACTGCGGGTGTCCTGGCTGGAACCCCCCCAGGGCCAGCGGGAGCTGGAAGTGGAGCCCTAGAACCAGAGGGTGGCACCAGGCTTGGGGCTTAAACACTGTCCAGGATCAAGTTCTCCCAAGCAAGGCTTCCTGAAAAGTCAGCAAGACCCTATGGGTGATGTGAGGTCAAAGCCAAGACCCTGAACTTGGCGAACTCAGAAGGTTCACCAAGTGACACTGTGGGTTCCCCAATGTCCCCCGACAGAGGCTCACTGTCATACTGCATCGGAGCCATGGGTGCCGGGTAGACACTGGCTCCCTTCCTTGGGGCAGCCCTGGGCCGACTGGTGCCCCTGAAGGCGCACCTGTGGGGCTCAGCCAGGGCGGCCATCCTCCCCCTCTCCCCGCAGGCTTCCAGCTCAGCTCTCCCCTCTTGCAGCTGATCGTTCTCAGGTACGCAGACCAGGAGCGCCAACTGGGCTTCGATGACTTCCTCAACTGCCTGGTCCGGCTGGAGACTGCAAGCCGTAAGTGTCCGGGGGGCTGCGTGTTCCTGAGCCCAGGGAGAGCACACCTCCCTCCATCACCTTACAGGAGCATGTAAGGGGCAACCTGCTGAGAACTGCAGCAAAGGCGGGCTGAGCCACACGCCCTGCCATCTGTGTGCCATGTGCGGCTAGCCGAGGGGTGGGTGTGCACGTCTTCTCTGCAGTGCGCCTGGTGCCGTCATCCTCCATCCGCTCCCAGTGTCTTTGTGGGAGGGTAGCTGGGTGGGAATGGGGCTTCTGCCGCGAATCAGAAGAAAGGTCAGATCCCATCACAGGGCACAGAATCGGGAGTCTCTCTCTCTCTCTACCTCTTTCCGCCCCCCTTCTTCCCTCTCCATCCCTTTGTGTTTACAAAAGCCCTAGACACTGACCCGATTGTCTCAAAGAAGATCTGTTTGTTAGCCCAGGAAGAGAGAGAGAGAGATTACGTACAGGTGGTCCTTAGCGTTTGCAGTTCATAGCCACCCACCCCTCACTGGGTAGTCACGCAGTTGAAGCTGAACGAAGCACATCCAGAGCCTGTGACTTAACACCAGGGTGACTGCTGTGCAGGTGTCCCCCCAGATGCCCACGCTCTGGGGTCACCATCTGGAATCTTAATAATTTTTAAAAATATTTATTTATTTATTCATTTATTTTGACTGTACGGGGTCTTAGTTGCGGCATGCAGAATCTTTAGTTGCAGGGTACAGACTTCTTAGTTGCAACATGCATGCGGGATCTAGTTCCCTGACCAGGGATCAAACCAGGCCCCCTACACTGGGAGCGTGGAGTCTTACCCACTGGACCACCAGGGAAGTCCCTTGAATCTTAATAATTTTTTTTTTTTTTTAGAGTTTGTTGTTGTTGTTGTTTTTAATTTATTTTTGGCTGCTTTGGGTCTTTGTTGCTGCACGCGGGCTTTCTCTAGTTGTGGCGAGCAGGGCCTACTCTTCCTTGCAGTGTGCGGGCTTCTAATTGCTTGTGGCTTCTCTTGTTGCAGAGCATGGGCTCTAGGCGTGCGGGCTTCAGTAGTTGTGGTGTGTGGGCTTCAGTAGTTATGGCTCGCGGGCTCTAGAGCACAGGCTCAGTAGTTGTGGCACATGGGCTTAGTTGCTCCGCAGCATGTGGGATCTTCCCGGACCAGGGCTCAAACCTGTGTCCCCTGCGTTGACAGGTGGATTCTTAACCACTGCACCACCAGGGAAGCCCCTTAATAATTTTTTTAACAAGGGGTCCCACAACAAATTATGGAGCCAGTCCTGCTTGGCACTTTCTAAAGTATGTTTACTGGGTGACTTCCAGGCACTGGCTAAACCAAGGCAAAGTCTGTGCTCCTTGGTTCCACAGTGGGGAGCTCCAGCTGCTTCTTTCAGGACACTTAGAACACACGGAGTTACTCATTTGAAGCTTGTCTCCACCAGACTCTAAGCTCCAAGAGAGCTGTACTGAGTGGACAAGCAAGGTACACATGATGACTGATGGGGATGATGGTCTGAGACAGGCGGGCAGGTCCTGCAGGGCCTGGCCGGTGACCTCAGGGCCCAGGCTTTCTCTGGGTGTGAGTGCGAGCTAATGAGAGGTGCATTGTAGAAACAGCCTCCTCAAAGGCGGCCGCTTATTAGACTTACAGGCCAGTCAGAGCTGACCTCGAGAGAGTGAGATTTGGCAGCTTCTCTTCTCTCAACTGCCCTTTTCCTTTCTGAATCCCCTCAGGCCCAGTCCTTTCCTGCAGGGGGTTCTCAGCTCGTTCTTATAATTGAGGAATCCTAGCGAGAAGACACTCAAAACTGAACATCACTGGTCAGTTTAGCTAAAAGCATATCAATATTATTGATCTTTTCTAAGAACCAACTTTTATTTCCTTGATTTTCTCTGTTCTTCAGTTTTCTAGGATCCTTATGTTAGATTCACCATCTGGAGAACTTTAAAAATCCCAAAGTTAGGGCTTTACCCCAGGCTGATTTTAACTTTATTCTAGAAATTTTTGCTCATACACCTAAGTATAAAGTGGGATACGGAGGGTGGGAGGGAGGAAGACGCAAGAGGGAAGAGATATGGGAACATATGTATATGTATAACTGATTCACTTTGTTATAAAGCAGAAACTAACACACCATTGTAAAGCAATTATACTCCAATAAAGATGTTTAAAAACAAAACGAAACAAAACAAAAAAATAATAACCGGTCCCCGTGTGCCCTCCACCGGTGCCTCTCAAACCCTGTCCCATGACAGTCCCCAGGTGAGCATCCCAAACTGTTAATGATCAGGCTACAAAGACCAATTAAATTAGAATCTAGGGGGTGGCAACACAGCATCATCTTTATAAAAATTCCCCAGTGGTTCCAGCGCCTTCCACCCAGCCTCACTTGTCACCTTGCTCACCTTTTCCACATGACCCCCTAAAGCATACTGTTTTTCCTGAGTTATTTAATAACAGATCTCAGAAATTTGGTCCTTTTGTCTGTAAACATCCCTATCAGAGAGACTTCTTTTTAACATAATCGTCATGCCGTTCGCACCCCCACAAAATTCTCAGTGAGTTCTCAACATCCTCTAAGCCCCGGTCCACACTGAGATTCCCCAGGTCCCCTCAGGACCTACTCACTGCACGTGGCTGCTGGGTTCTGTCTCTTTTGTTCTGTGGCAGCCCCTCCTACTTCCTGGGGTACTTTAAAGGTCCCGGGTGAGGCTCAGGTAAAGCCAGTGTGGACTGGTTCCACCACCTGGACTAAGATGGGGAGACTGAGGCCAGGAGAGGAAAGTAACTGTCTCGGGTTACTCAACGCGGCACACGGGCTCTCTTCTACCCCAGCTCTGCCTGCGTGTGGGGCCACCAGCGCTCACCTTCTCAAAATGGACTTGCAGAGACTCAACAGCTTTCAAGACTCATGCAAACCTTTGTGTACACGTGCTTTTTTTTCCTCTGGAGAGAAGGTCCATGGATCGCAAGGGCTCTGTAGCCCCCAACAGTTAAGATAGGGGAGATGTTTCGGGTCCACGAGCTGGCCGGCTGACCCACATACAGTAAATGAAGAGACCCACTCCCCAGTGCTCAGGCCACCGGCTTCTGCCATCACAGGAATTCCAGAGGCTCCCCCAGTTGAGAGACACCCCGCTCAGGGGACCTGAGTCTGGCCGCCGCCCTAGAAGATGCTCACCTCTTAGCAACAGATGGAGCGGCTTCTCCACCAGCCTCTCGGAAGGCCCCTTGGCCATGGGAAAATAGCTAAGCTTGTTGAAGGAACTTCTCCGCAATGATACCTTTCTTGTGTCTCTCCCATCAGGGATGTTCCAGGCCCTCGGCACGAAGAACAAGGAGTTCATTCATTTCAACATAAATGAGGTATGACCCAGCCAGACTTTCTGCTCAGGGACCCAGCCAGGGCTAGGCACAGCCCACACTCCATAATGCTGGCTGAATGCATGATCACATGGGAGGGTCCACATCTACCCTCAGGGTAATAATAATAATAATAATATTGCTAATAGTTGTGAGGCACTATTCATGTAGCAGTCAGTAGAAGCCCACAGTAGCCCTTTGAGCTAAGGACTAATAGTATCCCCATTTTGCAGAGGTGGAAACTGAGGCATAGAGAGATTAATCCCCTGGAAGAGTGAGCGAGCAAACCCTGCCCTCTTGTCCCGTCCTCCTTCTGCCACATGGGCTCCGCGGCCTCCTGCCCTCTGCCTTCCGAAGTTCACTTCTTCTTGTTCATGACGTTGTCCTGTGGGTCTCGAGATTCTCGGGGGGCGGGGGGTGAGCGTGTGTGTGTGTTTCTGCGCATGCACGCACACCTCAAAGCCCCTAAGGAATACACAACTTTTACCTGTTGCAGGGGCTGATCACAGCAAAAATGATGGAGGGGAGAGAATGGGTCAGTTCTGGAGGCTTGGATGAGGGGTCCCAGGAGCGGATAGCCCTCCCCCGCTGCCCAGAGTGTGGTCTGTGGGCCAGCGGCATGGCCATCACCTCGGGGAGCTTATGAGAAATGCAGAGTACCACATAGTGATCACAGTCAACAGTATGGTGTTATAAACTTCAAAGCTGCTAAGAGACGAGATCTTAATTGCCCTGACCTCAAAAAAGAAATGACGATGTGATATGATAGAGGCTCTAGCTGACGCCACGGTGGTGAACATCTTACAATATATCAATGGATCAAATCAATGCATTTACACCTTATACTTACACAATGTTACGTGTCAATTATATCTCAATAAAAGAAATCAACAAAATAAAAGCAAAAAAAGAAATCCAGAGAACCAGGCTCCACCCCAGACCCAGTGGATCAGCTCTCATTTTAGCAGGATACACAGTAATTCCTAAACCCACTAAAGTCTGAGAGCGCTGGTTAGACACTCTTCTGCCCAAAGGTGCGGCGGGGGGACTACAGGACACTTTCCTTCAATCGTTCCGTAATTTTTTATTTCCCTTTTTTTCCATTCTCTCCCTGTGCTTTCTGTCCAGCTCTGCTTTCCCTTGGACCTAAGGGCGGAAAAGCCGGGCAGCCTGTGTCTCCTCCATCTCTGAGCTCTTTCTTCTCCCCACACGTTTCCATGCTCACACTGCACACATCAGCTCACTTCCAAATTCAGTAGTAACTTTGGATGTGGGTACCATTTTATTGACTATTCCAAGACGAAGAGTTGGATGATGGTGTGTATTAGACAGGGGATGGAACTGTCAGTCTCTGTGCTCAGTTTCACCTTTTGCAGAAAGAGGTCTAGGCCTTAATCTTGCACCAGAAGTTTGGTTTCTAGTAATATCATGTAACTTAGCAATTTATTATGTTGACTCGTCACTGATTTTCTCATGTGGGTCTCAGATTCCTGGGTACATTATAATTTCACCAAGAATAGAAACTGGACATTTTTCTTTTCTAGTATTCTCTTTCACCTTTAGCACATGCAACACATTCAATAAGTGTAGCTCCTCTGATTGATAACGTGTAAAACACCCCAAGGATGCCAAAGAAAGACATACATACTCACATAGTCCCTTATGAAAACAAGACAGACCCCTACACCCATCTTTATTTCTCATTTACCTCAAGGTTTTGCCACCAATAAGTGTGAATAATGTGTGGGAGTTGCCATGTGTCCATGGTGCAGGGGAAGCGTGAGCGGGTTTTGTATTCGATAGCTCTTAGCCGGTCAAAGGCCCCAAAGTACCAGAAGCATGGAAGGAAGCATTGCTTTGCTTCAAGTTCTAGGTGTCACTTCCAGCCCAAGTGTCCACAGGTGTGGGGTCTGGAATGAGCTCTGTGTCCCCATTTCCTCTTTCTCAACAGGCCAAGTCATTTTGTTGTAAGTGCTTGCGCTTGCCCCATACTTACCACCCTCTGAGACAACAGGAAAAATCTTTGAGTTCTCCCCCTCTCCTTCTCCCTTTAAACCTGCCGTCCTCAACTCTGGCTGGAAGTTAGAATCATCTGGGGAGATTTTAAAGCCTCAACGGCCTGGTCACATCCCAGACCAATTAAATCCAGGTCTTTGGGGGCGGGACCCAAGCATCAGTATTTTAGAGATTCCCCTGGTGAGCCCAGTGTGCGGCCAAGTTGAGAGCCACCTTTTTAAATCCAGAGCCTACACCCCAACTACCTCCTTTATCAGGCTTTCACACTCTAGGCCACTACCCACCTGCCCTAATCGCCCCACTACCAGATACTCAAAACCAGGGACAGACCCTATGCCCTAGACCCTGCTGCAGTTATTCAAACTAGCCAGTCCTCAGCCTGCTTACCGTGCCTCACCTTTTCCTTCCCATGGAAACCACAATAAAAACTCTTGCCCACATATTTCCTTCACTCTTTCTGCCTTGTGATTGATCCTGGTGCTTCCCCATGTGACCCTGAATGGCTTGGTGAACCCTCCTCTTCTTGGGATCTGTGAGTATAACAAGTTATCTTTTCTGATCTGTTGGCCTCACACCAGATGATAGCTTGACTTTGCAGGAAGAAATTAAGAGCACTGGAAATGGTATCTGGGTAAATATAAAAAAAGGTTGTGTAAATGTATTTTTTCTCTTTTCTCCTAATTTTGTTAAAAGACATAATATTATATAAAGTAATAATTATAACACTATACTGTTGGGTTAATAACATATATAGAGATATGATAATAGTAGCACAAAGGAGAGGGGAGGAAATGAAGATATGTTAGAACAATATTGCTGTATTTCACAAGAATTAAGTCAGTATTAACCTGAAGCAGATGGTATAAGTTAGCATGCATATTGTAATTTGTAGAGCCACCACTAGGAAAATAACTCAAAGCTACAGTAAGGCAACAGAAGAATCAAAATGGTACGCTGAAAAATTGTTTAGCACAAAAACAGTGAAGGAGGAACAGATTTTAAAAAGACATATAGAAAACAAAGTGGCAGACCTAAATCCAACCATGTCAATAATTATATTAAATATAAGTGGACTATACACTATAATCAAAAGGCAGTTATTGTCAGACTGGATAAAAAAATCAAGATTCGATGGATACTGTTTATAAGAGACACATTTCACACACACACACAAAAACCCCACAAATAGGTTGGAAGTAAAATGATGAAAAGGGTATACCATGCAAATGGTGGCAACTAGAGAGCCAGAGGTGACATATTACTATCAGACAAAATGGACTTTAAGACAAAAATATTACTAGAGACAAGGAGGGATATTTCGTGATGATAAAGGGTAAATACATTAGGAAGATATAACAATTTAAACTGTAATAGTACCTATCAGCAAAGTCTTAAAATTTATGAAGCAAAAATGGATAGAATTGAAAGAAGAGATAGACAATTTAACAATTATAGTTAGAGATTTCAATACCCCACTTTCAGTAGTTGGTAGAGCAACTGGACAGAAAATCAGCAAGGATGCAGAAGACTGGAACAGTACTATCAATCAATTTGACATGTATAGAACACTCTACCTAAAAATAACAAATACACATTTTTTCAAAAGCATATGGAACATTCTCCAGTTTATATCATATACTAGGCCATAAAACAAATTTCAATATATTTAAGAGGATTTCAGTCATTTAGAGTCACAAAGGAATTAGAAATTGGGAACAAAGAAATTTGGGAAGTCCTCAATTTTTAGAAATTAAACAACACATTTCTAAATAACCCATGAGTCAAAGAAAAGAATCACAATGAAAATTAGAAATATTTAGAGCTGAACTAAACAAGAATAAAACATATCAAAATTAATGGGATGGAAATAAAGTAGGACTTAGAAAAGCAGAAAGCTCTAAAAACAATAACTTAAGTTTCTGTCTTAAGAAACAAGAGAGACGGAGAGAAAGAAAGAGAGGCATTAAACCCAAAGAAAGAGTAAGAAAGGTCAGAAGAAATCAGTGAACTAGAAAACTGAAGAATAGAGAAAATCCAGGAAATGAAAGGTTGGTTCTTAGAAAAGTTCAAAAATATTGTTATACTTTTAGCTAAACTGACCAAGAAAAAATAAAGACACAAATTTACAACAGCAGGAATGTAAGGGGGCATCACTGCCGACCTTACAGAAATTAAAAGGATTATAAGTGAATATTATGAACAACTTTATGCCAACAAATTAGACGACTTAGATGAAATGAAAAGAATTCCTAGAAAGAAAGGAATTGCCAATACTGACTTAAGGGGAAACTGAAAGTCCTGAATAGATCTGTAACAAGTAAAGAAATGGAAATAATAGTTTAAAAATCTTCCCATGAAGAAAATCTCAGGCTTTTCTTTGCATCAGAATTCACTGGTGAATTCTAATATTTAAAGAAGAAATAATACCAATCTAATACAACCCTTTAGCGTACAGAGGAAGAGGGACCATTTCCCAACTCATTCTATAAGGCTAGTATTACCCTAACAAAGCCAGAAAAAGACATCAAAGAAAAGAAAACCACAGACCAATGTCCCTATTGCAACAGATGCAAAAATTCTTAACAAAATATGAGCAAACCAAATCCAGTAGCATATAAAAAATGTTTAAACACCATGACCACATAGGATTTATCCTAGAAATGCAAGGTTGATTTAATATTCAAAAATCAATCCAGGTACTATACCATTCAAACAGAATAAAGGACGAAAACCTCATGATCATCTCAAAAGATGCAAAAAGAAAAAATTCAACAAAATCCAACACCATTCATAATTAAAATTCTTAAAAAACTAAGAATAGAGGAAACTTTCTCAACTTTATAAAAAGCATCTATGAAAACCCTACAACTATCATACTTAATGGTAAAAGACTGAATCCTTTCTCCCAAAGGTCAGGAATAAGGTAAAGATATCAGTGCTCACCACTTCTATCCAACTTTATACTGGAGGCTCTACCCAGTGTGATGGGGGCA